TTCTTGGCCTCCAGTGCCTGCAGAACCCCTCCTGCTCATACCCCTAGGATACCTGGAGGAGAAATGGGCCTCAGGAATGAATTCTCCCAGTCAAGCCTCTTGGCAGCAACATAAGCTTTACCTTCTGTTTGGTGGGGCTGGTATTTCTGTAGCCCTACACCTTGGTACCCTACACCAGGTATTAGGATGTGAGGCCCAGAGAAGGTCATCCGCATGTGTTTCCTTGGACAGCCAGGCATGCCAGGAAGCACAGGCAATGAGGAGTTTGCAGGGTGTTGTGGGGTGGCCCTTCCCTCCATGGCCAGACCAGCAGATATAGATGGCCTAGCCCCCATGAGTGAGTCTGAATTCTGGATCCATAGGAAGGAAGGCCGGGTCTAGCCCCATCTTAGACTTGGCTCACTGCTAGCTTTCTGGACAGGAATAAATATTTGCCTGTGGGGAAAACAGAATTCTCCAGAACACAAGCCATAGTGAGTGGCTCTTGGAAGTGCAAGCCACTGTCCCGAGTAGTCTATTCTGTACAGCCCAGCTCCATGACAACTTTTGAAGAGCAGCTTGTAGTGGCTCATCCCCTGGCCAGGATTCCTGGGTGGGAAGAGAGACCCTCAGAGCCAGTGCTGCTCTGTCTCCATGCAGAATGACACTCTTTCCTGTTTTCCAGGCCAGGTAGGGAGCCAAGTCACTGTTTCTGCATATCTGTTCTCTTCTTGAGGCTTGAGGCAGCTTCACCCCTGGTGTCACTACACGCAGACCCCAGCTCTCCCTGGCCTTGGCCTGCCCATATGGCCCCCACCTGCAGTCCTAGGCCATCTTCAGCCCCACCTACCCTGAGAGGGGGCACAGCTCTGCTCTGGCTGGTGACCAGCATGGGGCTGGCACCTCCAGGTCTCCAGGGGTGTCCGTGATAGGTCACTCAGAGTGTCTGTTCTGATGGGTGGCATACAGGGACCAGGCTCCCACCAAGTGCTATGGCATAGGAGTATGATAGCCTTTGACTATCCAGAGAAAGCCAGGAGCTGAGGTTTCATGCAAAATCTCCCACCTCACTCACCCCACTTGGTAGCTGTGGAACGTGTCTCAGGGCCTATGACCTGGGTGGTCCTGGGACCTTGACTGGGCAGAGTTGGGGCAGGATTTGCTTACTGGGGGGACGGGCAGGAGGCGGACAGAGAGCTTAGTTCTGTGCTTGTGACTGAAGGAGTGAACATCCTTGCTATGCAGCCCAGGTGTGGACAGTTGCCTCTGGGAGGGGTGATAGGACCTGAAGCCTGATGTTGGCCGCAGGGAGGCACTGCTGGCCCAAGGCCCTCTGTGGGCTGGGATGGGAACTTCCTCCACTGTTCCCAGTAGAGGCCGGTAGAGCAGGGGACAGTCTGCTCAGCACACAGGACAGGCCCAAAGTGGGCACCATGGGTTTCTTTAGGGCCCTGTTCCCACTGGGATTCAAGTCCTCTGGGGCAGGGCATTGGCTGGGCTCTTGGTCAGTTTCCAGTGGCCTGGAAGGGCCTACAGGTGAGGGGCTGGGGCTTTAGCATAGCAGGGAAGGACATGGGGCAGCCACAGGAGGGTGGTGGGGAGGCCAGAAGAGTTGCCCGTGACTTGAGCTCCAGGGAGACCCACCAAGAGCACCTCTGAGCACAGGCAGCTCCTGCTGACCTGGAGGGCTTGACAGGGTGTGGTGGGTAGTGCCCCGCACATGGCTGGAGGGGCTAGAGGAATGGGTGTGGCCATGCTGACTGGGGCTCATGGTTGGAGGGAGTTCAATGGGGGACTTTGGCTCCTTTGTGATGGCAAAGTGGGGGACCCTCAGGCAGGGGTCACACTCAGCAACATCAGGAGAGGTGCTGTCTGCTGGGTTCCAAGTTGGCCCAAGAGCCAGTGTTCTGTGGGCTGTGGCCACGAAGGAAGTCATGCCAGTGGGGAGGGGGCTACATACCTGGCTGTCAGCCTGGGAGGAGGTTCTATATGTTGTAGTTAGCATTCTGGGCCTTCCATTTATCTGAAGCAGGTACACTCAAGGCCATATTTAAGTAGCTGGGTGGATTGGATTTAATTCACTGTTTCAGAGAGCCCAATTCATTTTCCCTGCAAATGTTCATTTTTGGAATCCTCTCTGCATCTCAGAAGTAGGTATTGCTTTAACTCTAAAAATCCCATTCTAAAGTTGGGATATTTGTGGATATATATTTTTCACTATAATTTCCCTCATATTAGGGAATTCAGTCATGAGCTCATTATGACTAGCCTTGGTTAGTTTGCAGCCTTGGTCAGTTGTGGTAGTCTTGGTTGGTTGTAGCAGCCTTGGTTGGTGGTTGGGGCCTTGGCAGTGCCTCCAGGAGAGAAACTGAGGGTCTGTGCAGATTCTTTCCATCTAGAGCAGCTGTGTTGCCCCAGACTCCATGCACTTACCACTTGTCTGGTACCAACACAATACCTCAAAAATCAAATGCTCAGATTACTTTAGAAATGAGAAATGGAAGGTATTTTTAAATTTTCCACTATATTAACTTTATAACGTGCAAGGTGGGCTTTGTTTTTAATCAATGTTTTCAGCCAGGTGCAGGGGACCCCTTGAAAATCCCAGGCCCTGGCTGGACATGGTGGCTTACGCCTGTAATCCTAGCACTCTGGGAGGCTGAGGTGGGTGGGTCGCCTGAGTTTAGAAGTTTGAGACCAGCCTGAGCCACAGAGAGACCCTATCTCTAAAAAATAGCTGGAGTGTTGTGGTGGGCGCCTATCGTCCCAGCTACTTGGGAGCCTGAGGCAAGAGAATCACTTGAGCACAAGAGTTTGAGGTTGCTGTGAACTATGATGCCACAAGCTATGATGCCATAGCACTCTACTGAGGGCAACAAAGTAAGACTCTGTCTTTAAAAAAAAAGAAAAAGAAAAGAAAAAGAAAAAAAATGAAAATCCCAGGCCCTGTCACCCTCACTGTGTCTCTTCAGGGCTGGCCCCGCCATTCACACCACCTCTCATCTGGTCAGTGCCTGAGTGGCCATACTTGGAGCCTTTTCACCAGGATATGCTGTGTATGGCTGGAGGAAGCAGGATTCCTCTAGGACCTTGCAGAGTTTGAGCACACTAACCACTTGCCTTATGGGAGGTGTGGTGGGGCAGCAGACCATGAAACCCTGAGGGGCTCCTTACCCAGGCCCCCTGTCCACCTTCTCCATGTTACAGGACAAGGTCTGTGCTGGGGCTCCCAGGATGGATGCAAGAGCCTCAGAGGACACCCACTTTGGTGTTCAGGGTCACCACTGTTCCTCCCTACCAGCAGTGGACAGTGGCAAGAAGCTCACAATCCTTAGCCTGGATACAAGCACCCCTGGCTACCTTGTGATAACATTTCTAGCAGTAGCTGATTTGGCTGTGCCTCATGCACCCACAAGGAAGCTACATGCACAGGCTGTACTCAGGGGCCCTGTGGGAGCTACCCTATACCCCATGGAAGCCTGGGGCTGCAGCTTCACAGGCTGCTTTGCTTTTACAGAGAAAAATTAACCCCAAGTCTGGTTTCTAGAGACTAGTTGGTTTAGTCCCACGTCCACCTGGGACAGGGATCCTTCCAGCTCAGAACACCTTGCTGTGAACTGTGTTGCTGTGAATGGGCTTCACAGGGCCAGAGTGAACTCTCTGTACCATGCAAAGTCAGTGGACTGCAGGCCAATTAAGAATTAGATATTTGTTTCTTACTAAAATGACCTCAAGCTCTGCTTCCCCCAGCCATCCTCCTGGGGCCTCCACCGCTGGGTGACCCTGTGCCCCATGGGGAGCTCAACAGGACTCAACCTCAGTAGAGTGACTGTAGGGACTATTTTTAGGTGGGGGGTGGTGGTCTAATCCCCTCCCCTCTGGTGTGGCCTGGGATGGCAGCCAGCCTTCCTAGAATCTTCCTCCATCCCCTGTGAGGGCCCTGAACCATGAGCAGTGTGGCAACAAGGACCTGTGCCCAGCATTGTCCCCAGCCCTCTTTCCCGGGGAGCCCAAGCATCTGGGGCCTCAATGTGTGCTTGCAGGGTGGCTGTGGGACCCGTGCCCCACAGGAGACAAGGAAAGGTGCAGGGCCTCACCTCACCCCATTGGTAAGGAATGACAAAGCTGTGGCCAGGAGGGTGGTGTCAGCCATCAGTCTCAGGTCTGGGCCATGCTGGCCACTCGCCAGCCAGCACTAGGCCTCTCTGGCCTGACCTATCTCCAGAGACAGGCTCTGGTTGACGGGGGCAGGTCTGAGTGCCATGCAGCATCTCCTCACTCCGTTCTCCAGGGCCCTGCAGGTTCCTGGAGCCAGAAACAGCAAACTGGGATGCAGCAACACCCACCCTGCCCCTCTCAGGAAAGGCCCTGGGGCTCTGCAGTCCAGTTCACAGGACCCCCTGGCTCAGGGCCACTCCCCAGTCGCACCGTCTCCTTCCCAAGCCCTTTCCTTCTGGAGGCTGTTTGTGAGACCATGTGAGCTAGTTCTGTTGCACAGTTCCTTAGCTCAAAGTCCTTTAGATTTGTTTGAGGTCCTTTCCCTTTTTTGCATAACAGGTCACACCAGGCAGCCCTGGAGGAGGCATTGTCCCCTGGCACTTGGTGTTGGGCACTGCAGGGTGGTGCACTTATCAGCCTCAGGCAAGAGGTGCTGGAGCTGGCTGGGGGAACAAGGGTCTCCCATGTAGCCTCTGACACACAGGGTTGTGGCCTGGGGCTCAGGTCCAGATGACCCCAAGCAAAGGCTCACTTTGAACAAGCAGGTGTGGCTCCTGGGAGCTACCACTTCATCCTGGAAATACCCTGATGGGACCTGAAACACAGGGGGCTGTCTGTGTGTTTTGTTCTCTGAAACTCTGAGTCTGAGGGAGGTGTGTGTGTGTGGGGGGGGTAGGTGGGGACACCCCAGAGGCCCGAGGCCCTGTCAGGTTCTAGGCTGTGGCTGCCCTGAGCTCGTGTCTAGGTCTCCCCATCTGCCCAGCTGAGCTATGTGGTCACCCACAGCCTTGTTTTCTCTGCAGGAGCTGCCCAGTGGGAACCCCAAGGATGGGTCTGTCCGGGAAGACCAGTGTCCTCTGGAGGGTAAGTGTAGCCCCTGTGGTACCTCCTCCCTCACCTCCCAGAGTGCCTGTGCCGAGGCTCCTGGGAGGCCACCCTCATGCCATCCAAGCAGGCCATGTGTAGCTTCAGAGGCTCTTTGTTGTAACATGCCCTTTGCATACTGTCCACGCAGATCCACATGGACAGGCAGCTTGGATCTGCTAAACGGTCCCTCAGAGTGTCTCGGAGCCTGTGGTCTGCACTGGGGCAGGCCAGGTCCTGTGTAAAGGTTACCTATGAGTCCTTAAATCAGATGGGTCTAAGGATGGGTGCCTGCGTGAGGCCAGCCCCGAACAGTCAGCCTATAAGATGCCAGCCTGGTCTGAGTCCCTGCCACAGGCTTGTGTCTTCAGGGCATCAGTCTTCCCTATGGGGTTTGCAGGATGTGACTAGGTTCAGGTGCCTAGAGGGTGCCAGGACCTGACTCGTTGGGAGTTCAGCCAGCTGACATGTACCTGTCCATAGATGCTCAGCAGGTACACAGGCCCCTAGGCTGGGTCACAACCTGGGAGAGCTGGAGGGCGCTGCCCATCCCTCATGACCAGAGACTGTGGCAAGGGAGGCAGCTGTGATATTGCACTCAGCTCCAGGTAGCCTGTGCAGTCAGGGAGGGGAGCCCCAGGACACTGGGACTACTGCCTTGGGGCCCAAGGGGCCTCACTGTGCTCCATGGCATTGGTATGTTAAGTCCCTGGGGATGGCATGAGGTACTATGGGCTGGGGGCAGGGAAGGCACGTGACTGTGACTAGCCCCGGTGGGAGTCCTCTGCACCTGCATGGGTCCCTTGATACCCCTTGTTCTGTGAGCACAGGCTTTTGGTTCAGGCCATTAGGGAGGGACCACAGCTCAGCAGAGGAGGGCTGCATCCTCCCATACCCTCTGCCCCTAAGTTACCTCTCTCACCCCTGCAGTGTCACTGCCCCCCGAGAAGGCTGAGGGCCACGAGGGCTCAGGACAGCTTTTCAGCATGGAGGATGGAGAGAGGGTGATGCCCTGTGAGGGCCTGCGAGGGCCGGGCAAAAAGCGCCTGCACATTGATGTAGGTCTTTCTTTGCTCCCCTCACCCTCCCAAGTGTCCCTAGGCAGGGTGGGCGTGTGTTGAGTCTAACCAGGCATCTGTGCATGCTCAGGCCTGGCAGTTCCACTGCTGGGCCAGTTTGAAGTGTTGGAGTGAGACTTGGATGTGCTGCTGGTCAGCCACTTTGGGGACACAGGATGTCACCGTGAACTTGGCCAAACTTGCGGATGTGGCATAGATAATCCGAGCTTTCCCAACCATGGCTTGCACAGGACAGCAGGATAATGCCAAAGCTGATTCACAAGCTGTCCCACTTTCACAGCCCCGGGGACCACGGAGCAGGGGTCGCACTTTCCTGCCAGGGCCCCCAGGGACATTTTGTCGGTTTTAAACTGAGATTTGTGGAGCTGACAACCCTTGACAATCAGCATGGCCTTGTCTCCTTCTGGCTGATGCTGAGCACTGGCAAGAGCCAGATCACAGGGCACAAAGCTGGATCCCTACCAGGAGGGGAGGAGTGGGGTGAGGGCACAGGGTTTGCAGAGTCCTCTCCCAGCTACAAGACATTGAGATCACCTTTGAGCTGTGGCTGCAGGAGAACCCTCAGAAAGGCCCCAGGACACTGCCCTCTGTGGGTCAGGGGTCACTGGCCTGATGGTGCATGAGAGGCTGAGGGCCTTGGGGGGCACTTCTAGCCAAGTACCCTGCTGACTCCTTGCCCCATCCCTGTGTGCCACCCACAGGCCCTCCAGTGTGACGTCTCGGTGGAGGACAATGACCACCAAGAGTGGACATTCACACTCTATGACTTTGACAACAGTGGGAAAGTCACCAGGGAGGTAGCATGCTTGTGTTTGCACCAGGAAGTCACGGGAGGGGCTGCTCAGGGCCCAGTCTCCTAGCTCTCCAACCAGGCTGGGCCCAGTGGACAGAGAGATGGGGACACAGGGGGAAGGGCCCCTGGCTTTTTGCTGCCCAGCCTTCCAGGTGGCTTCTAGCACTTCAGGGTATCCTTACAAGAGCAGGCCTGCCTTGGGCCACTGGAGGCACAGACAGAGCTGCCTTTGGGGGTATAACCAGCACTGCACAGACAGCACTGCCCAGATGTCGGTGCTTATCCTTGGGGTTCACCTGGAATGCTGAGTGGATGGAGCAGGGGGTCAGAGAGGGCATTGCCCCCTTTGAGGTCTGCTATGACGTCGATGCCCGGCCCTAGGACATGTCCAGCCTGATGCACACCATCTATGAGGTCGTCGATGCCTCCATCAATCACTCCTCAGGCAGCAGCAAGACTCTGCGAGTGAAGCTGACGGTCAGCCCTGAGCCCTTCAGCAGGAGAAAAGAGGGGCTTCCCTCTAGCCAGGGTGCGTGGGTCTGAGCCCTCACCCAGGAGCCGGTCTGGCTCAGGAAGCAAAATGAGTGGGCAGTTAAGGGAGGGAGCCAGTAAGCTCATACACAAGGGCCCTCTTGTAGACCGGGAGCCCCCTCGCTGCAGGATGGAGGGTGAGCTTGCTGAGGACCCACGGGCAGCTGACAGGAGGCTGTCTGCCCACATCAGGTAAGGAGCTGGGCCCATGGGGGGTGGATCCATTTAGAGACGCCCCTGCTTATTGCAAGCCTAACAAGCTGTCTTACATCCACCCAGCAAACCCGAGCTCATCACCTGGGCGGGCACTCTGTCAGGTGAGGGCCCCACCCCATAGCCAGTGGTCTGGCCAAGCTCCTGAGTCTGTCTGACAGGGCTTTGGCATCCAGGGGCTCCTAGTCTGCACTCACTCTGGTTCTATGTGGTCCTTCTCACCAGCTTTGGAGGTGACAGGGCTGGGGGTGGCCACCGTTGCTCTCAGTGGTGAGCAGAGAACATAGTGTGAGTGGCTCAGCCCAGCGCCTGTGGCTCTCTGAGGCACATAGTGTATGGCGCCTGTGGCTCTGAGGGGGATCCTCGAGTCCTAGCTGGGCTGCCCATGACCTTGTTTCTGGGGACAATGTGCAGCTGTGTCTGCGCTGTGGGCCCTTCCTCCTGCCCTGCAGAGAAGTGGACGCTGGCTGGAGCCCCGGGGACCCCGTGTGCCTGCTGCAGGCTCCATCATTAGGAGCGCTGCTCAGCCGGGTGCCGGTGGCCAGGCTCCTCCTCTGTGCTCTGCACAGGAGGCCCAGTGCTGACCCGCAGCCCTGCTCTGCTCGGGGGTCCAATGCTGACCCGCAGCCCTGCTCTGCACGGGGGCCCTACTGTGTGGATGAGAGCACAGAGCGCAGGAACCACTACCTAGACCTGGCTGGTATCGAGAACTACACATCTAAATTTGGCCCTGGTAGGTACTGAGACCCCGCGTAGCAGGCCCTGAAGGGGTGTGAGTCTGTGGGCTCCCCCACCGGGAGCCCTAATTGTGGACCTGGCTACCTGTTGATGCCTCCTGAAAGCAAGGTGACACTTGTCTGTGGTGGGAGTCCAAAGTGAGATGGAGACCTGGTCCATCTCACCCTGGTCCAAAGTGAGATGGAGACCCTGCCTTGGGGTGGGCATCTCGAGACGATTACCAGCTCACTGAGAGGAGTTGGTTCACCAGCAGCATGGCCTGCCAGGCTGCCCAGCACAGACCCAGGCATGGCCCTAGAGAGATTACTGAGTCAGAGTCTGGCTGCTACCCAAGGGCTGGGGGCCAGGTGACCCTCACTGGTCCTGATTAGGAATCCATAGAGGCAGGAGGGGTCTGCTTAAGCAATTCAAACATTTTTAAAATGTCTTTGAGAAGCTCCTTGAGTCTGAAACACTTTGGCTAAAGGCTTGGGGCCTGGGCGCAGGTGGCTAAAGCAGCCTGTTAGCAGGACGAACTTTGTCTTTTGGGCTAGTTGTGCTGTGTGCAGACCCCTCCCAGGCCACTGTTCACTCACAGGCTTAAACTGCACGCTGTGGAGACCGCAGCCCACGGGCCTTCCCAGAATCTATTTCATAAGGAGGATTTCGTGGAAATGAGTTCTGGAGGCCTTTTTGCTGCACATTTCCTGACATAACACAACGTTCTGCCTTAGACAGAGTCTCGGCCCTGCCAGAGAGAAGCTCTCCTCGCAGGACCCACTATGTGGTCAAGGGCTGCCTTCAAGGAGAGCAGGGTGGAGCCAGGTGGGGGTCACCTAAGGCGATCAGACCTGTTTCCTAAGGGGTGACAGTACTGTCCCCTGGGACAGTAGGGGAACGGAGCTGTCCCCTGGGCAGGGTAGGTCCTGGGTTCTGGCATCACCTCTCCCTGCAGTTGCTTTAGGGCACCTGGCTGTCTGCAGACTTGGCTCCCAGGCAGCCTGTGGTGGGTCCCTGTGTAGTTCTTTCCAGTGTGGCCTTTGGTAATATGTCACTGCTGTGAAGAGGAGTCAGAAACCCAATCCACATGTTTGGGTGCTGTGTGCAGGGCCTCACACTCTGCCCCTGCTCCCAGGGTCCCCTCCGGTGCCGGCCAGGCAGGAGCACCATGGCAAGGCCTCACACCTACAGAGTAGGTCGCGCTCCCAGGAGTCGGATGCATACCTGCTGCAGCACCGCAGGTCCCAGGTGCTGGCTGATCATGCCACGCTGGCCACAGAGCCTGCTGCCCGGGTCCTGGACATGCAGTCCCGGCTGAAGGTGCAGGACAAGCCACTCCTCAAGTCACCCAAGGGCATGGGGAAGCCACCTGGAATGCCAGGCAGCAGCAAGCCTGGGAAAGTCTTCAGCTACTACCTGCTGGCCCAGGCCCCCCCGGATGGCCATCCCCCTCCACAGCCCCCACCGCTGGCCTATAGCCATAAGCGATACCGGCAGAAGGGCAGGGAGGGCCACTCACCGCTCAAGGCCACGCATGGCCAGCCTGCCACTGTGGAACAGGAGGCGGTACGGGACCTGCCGCCTGTGCTGGCAGGCGAAGGCTACCCGGTGCCTGTGATCCAGAGGCATGAGCACCACCATCACCACGAACACCACCATCACCACCACCACCACCATCTGCACCCCTCCTAGCCCCCACCACATGCCCTCGGGGTGGCAGGGGGGCTGCCGTCCCAGACCACAGGTCCACCTTGAGGAACACTGGAAGATGGGCCCTGTTTCCTCCATTATACTGCTGGCGCTCCCGTTTAAAGCTGTTCTGTGTAGCCCATAAAACCCACACATGCGCATAGAAAGCGCTCCTGTGTCCGCTTCCGTGTATGATTCCAAACGAGGCCCCAGAACACTGAAGGGGCTTCTGCTCAGACACTGCCACCTCTGGGTGCTCCTGGCACAGGATGGCAAGGCCAGGAGTGAGTGCAAAAGTTGGAGCCTCTCATGCAATTTGCTCCTCATAAGGTCAGGGAGGGTGCTGGGAGCACCTGTTCTTGGCAGGGTCCTCGGTTCCCTGAGCTATGCTGAACAGAATTCACAAGGGAGCCAGGCTGTGAGGGAACTGTCCAGAAACATGGGAGGTGCAGCCAGGGCCATGGGCAGGGCAGTATGTGCAGGCAGAAGGACAGAACAGTGGTTGGACGTGGTGGAGAGGCCAGATGCAGTGGATCCTCACCTGGCTTGTGGAGCAAAGCATAGGCAGGCTCAGATGTGAGGGCAGCCTGTGCAACACTGCCCTTCTGGGGGGAGGACTTCAGGCTCCGGGGCATAGCAATAGCTGCTGAGTCTATGCAGCCTCATGGCCCTGTCACCTAAGACTGGTGCCTGAAGCTTTCTGGCCACCACAGGTAACTTTGCGCTCCCTCTTGGCACCATTTTTAGGGATAAAGCAAATTTATAGTCAACTGGTAATAGAGATTTTTTCCAGGCATAATAAAAATTTGTGTGTTTTGTAATGTTATACCCTATATTAGAAGTCTTCAAAGAGATGCAGACACCTCCATCAATGTGTGGCATGGGGTGCGACATGGAGCCCACACATTTACAGGATAAGTGACACAGCACACACCCCATTGTTGTGGATGGGGTTTCTTCTTTCATTGTACTGTTCTAAGCACACCCCAAACCCCAAAACTAGACCCCAGGTGGGCCCATGCTGACAGGAACCTTCAGCACCCCCATCTGGGGCTGTGTGACAGGCAGGACTGTCCTCTGGGAAAGCCAAAGCCAGTTGTGCCAGGTCACTCTTCCTCCACCCAAACGTCCCAGGGGTCTTCTGAGTGACTTAGGAGTTGAGGAAGTTCTTTATAAGTCTTCCCTACCATTACACAACAAAAGCCTCACTGTGTTTATCTGGAATATTTTATTTCTTTGGAGCTGAATGACAGTGTGTCCCCTCAGAGTCCCTCACAGGTTCAGCGCATTTCTGTCCCACCTCAGAGGCCGTGGACCACTGGGCCAGCGTTTCTGAGCCCTCCCTCATCACTGGTCACACTGTGCCTTTCTGCATTAATCATAAAGTCACAGGGCCCTGGGGTGGCCAGTGTAGGGGGCTGTGCCAGCTTCCTCTATGCTTATCCATCCATGCTCTCGTTCTGTTTCCTCCAAACCTCTTGCAGGACACTGGGGTACTGTGGTGTCTCTGGTGGGGCATCCTCCCCATTCTGGAACTCCAAGTGGAAGCTGGTAATTGGGGATAGCTCTAAGCATCTGGTCCCACATCCATGAGTCCGAGCCACATCCAGCACCAAGGACCTCCCAGGCCTTGCTCTGGATGCGTGAGTCCAGCTGGCTGTCCTCTGCAGAGCCTGTCCTCTGGCTCCACTGTTCTCAGTGGCAGCATGGGTCACAGGAAGCACTGGTATTCCTGCCCTATACCCCACCCTTCCAAGGTGCTGATCTCACCTCTCAATGTCCTATCCCAGGTCCTCACTGCCCCAGGAATAGGGCTGCCTTCAATGGGGGGGGTCCCCGCCAGAGGCACGGCCTCAGTTCTCTCTGCCTAGGGGGCCCTCTGGTTCCTGACTAGCCCCCACTCTATTCTGGTCAGCATGGCCTCCAGCCCTGGTCACTGCTTCCCTCCACATTCCCTCAATGTTTACGTGGGGGGTCATGGTCTTCACTGCCCCCCTGCCTGGTATCTGCCTCAAGGTGCCACTGTAGTGGGTGGACAGAAGGGTCACAGCTCAGTGACAGTATCACCAGGGGCATGATCCCTACAGGGCTGGGATCCCTCTGAGCTGGGGCTTTGTCCTGGGTGTGGACGTGGGCACTGTCAGCATTTAACAAGGGCCTGAGGACAACTGTGTCCTCACAGTCACTTCCCAATGGTTTGATGCCTGCCTATGCTGTGTCCGTCCCGTGTCTTGTATGCAAGACCCACTGGAAACACATGACTGAGTTTCTCATGTCACACAACTGTCACTGCATGCAGCCAGTGTTCCCACACTCCGGCAAGCACTGCCAGAAACTTCAGAACATTCTCATCCCCTGTGACCCCTGCTAACTGCCAGTCCACTTCCTTTGTGGATCTCCCTGTTCGCATGCATGAATCTCACAGCACAAGACCCTGTGTGGTGGCTTCTTCCACCAAGCAAGATATTCTCCAGGCTCACCAGGGCTTTATCCCCTGACTCAATGACACCACTGTGTGACAGCGCTCGTCCACTGTGAGCTTAGCCACCTGTGAAGGATGCTGCTGTGCACGTGGCTTGTTTTCAAGGACGTGTTTTTCCCAGCTGTGTACTGGGTTAACCCAGGTTGGGGCTGCCCTTACATTCCTGCCCACCCTGCTAGGGTGTCCACACAGTGTGAGGCAGTGCCTCACCGGGCTGCTGCGGTTAAACACTGCCCTCTAACTGAGGCTTCCCTTGGTGCCGCCACCTGCTGTAAGTTGCAGATTGGGTCACCTCGACACAGTGCTGCTGTCCGCAGGCACCATGCTGCCGATGCTACTGGGAGAAGGGGACGAAACAGTCCCTCTGACTAAAGTGGGTGTTTTGTTTCCATGTCTCTTGGCCAATTCACGTGTTAATTCTTTAGCCACCAAGTTTGCTTTGGCTAATCAGACCTCAGAGCCCTCCAAGACAAAGGATGGGTGCATTTTGCCCATGATTATTTAATTTTTATGCTGAATGAGACACACAAGACTTCAACACACCAGGTTTCACAGGATTTTATTCTTCTAACAAAATCATACAAAGACAAGGAACCTATAATAGGAAAACATGAAATCACTTTTAAATGGCTGCTATTACTGGTCACATGTTTACAATGGAAAGGAGCTGGGCGCTGACGTGGGCAGTGCTGGGGCCCGACACAGCTGAGCCCATGCAGTGCACTCTGAGGGAACGAGGCTTCAGCCACCTGGCAGCAGCCTCCCGCTCCCAGCTGCTGACCAACACTCAGAGATGGTGCTGACACTGCCGTGCCTTCAGCCTCCCCTGCTTGGACACAGCACCTCTGGGCCTTACTCTCAGAGTTGAGTTTTGCTGCTTAACCTAGCACAGGCGCCCCCAGACTTGCTGACCATCTGGGACATGCCCTAAGGCCAGTGTCCCATGCTGTCCACAGCTCTTCAGCAGCGTCCGAAAGCCTGCCCTGGCTGCAGCTCCATGCAGTGTGGACAGTCCTGGGAGCCTGAGAGCCAGAGAGAAGCAGGCAACGGCATGGCCATTCGGGTCCTCTTCACTGACAACCTAGCATCTCTTTAAATAAATAAATAAGCCACATAGCAGGGAGGCACAAATCACTGTCACCACCTGCAGCCTGTGAGCATGATCATGACCTACAGAGCAGAGGGGTCAAAGGCAAAGTGCAGATGGCCACCAGGTCCCTGAAAGTCACCGTGTACTCCAGTGCACACCAGGAGCCCACGGCAGGGGACACTCAGGCTCAGTAGGACTTGATGCTCTGGGCCTCCCATGCCTGAGCCCAGGGGAGGGTGGGACAGCATGTCTGCCAGTGGTTCTGAAAGGCTCTCCCCACCGTGGGGAACGCTTGGCATTCACTGTGCATGTGTTGCCCTGGGGTCAGCAGGTGCCACCATCTGCAGCCTGTGCTCAGGGCAGGGGCCCGGTCAGTGCTATGAGGAAAAGCGGGGGTGGATTCTGGTGGAGAGCAGAGGCAGGGACAGGACTGCAGTGGACGGACAAATAGGCTCCTTCCCAGATCCAAGCCAGGGCAGGAAGACGCTGGCATCTGCTCACATACCCAGCGACAACTGGCTTTGACCCTGCAAACTGGGCTCCCTGTCCATTTGGCTGCCTCAATTGTGGGCCTGTCTGTGAGCCCACTCCCCACGTGGGAGGGTACACTGACCTCAGGCCACAAGGCCAAGCCAGGGGTATAGGCATGGATGGAGTCCTTTTGCATAACACCTTACTGTGCATGGACACAGGAGAGGAACGAAGATGTGAACCCTAGGCTGCTGTGTCACCGTCAGTGCCCAGAGATGGCTTCAGCCCAGCTGGGCTTTTCAAGAATGTCCAGCACAGGCAGATGAAGCATGACTGCCCCAGCAGCTGAACAGGCCCCATCAGGGAAAGCACTTCCAGAAGCTTCTCCCATCCATTCTGCTGTCTCCCCTTAGACATAAAGAAACTTCCAGCCGCATTCCCCTCTTGGCCCATCATTTAAGCCTGCCTGGAATAGGAAAGCCCTGGGTGATAGGTCTAGAAACTTCCAAGGGAGGCCCTAGTGGCAGGTCAGGCTGCATCTTGGGTGAGCCCATCTGCTTGTCCGCAGCAGCCCAGCGCTGTCCGTCATTAGGAGTAGATGGTGATCACCTCGCGGCCGCCACCCCTGACCAAGAGGACTCTGTTCAGCCCCTCAGTCAAGACCTCAAGAAACTCCATGTCTGGGTCGTAGGGTTAAGGCGATAGCAGATGTCATGGAGTGTGAGCAGAAGTCCTAAAGATGGGGCTTCACCCTCCCCACTGCTGCGCTAAGACACCACTAAAAAGAGATGAGAGGATGCAGGGGAGAGGGCACAGTGAGGATCGTCACACCTGACAGGGATACCCAGCCAGGCTCCGGGTCTGTGACACCTGCAGGGTCCTGACTGAGGGCTTCCGACCAGCAGACCCTGAGGGCCACCCTGCCCAGCAGCTCTGGGCACAGACCTAGCAAAGGGAATACGGCACCCAACCCCACGACCACAAACAGGTATCCCCAGGACACCCAGGGGGATGATGGCATCCTGGGTACCAAAAAAGAGCAAATTCCTAAAGCTTGGGGCCAATTTGAGTCTTAAAACCTGAGAGCCTGACTCAGCACCTATAGCTCAGCAGCTAGGGTTCCAGCTGCATACACTGGAGCTGGTGGGTTCGATCCCAGCCTGCACCTGCCAAACAACAATGACAATTACAACCAAAAAATAGCCAGGTGTTATGGCAGGCACCTATAGTCCCAGCTACTTGGGAGGCTGAGGCAAGAGAAATCACTTAAGCCCAAGAGTTTGAGGTCGCTGTACACTGTGACGCCACACTACTGAGGGTGACATAGTAAGATTCTGTCTCAAAAAACAAACAACAAAAAAAAACCCTGAGAGCTTGGCTTCTCACCTGCCACAACCACCAGAGCGTGTAGGCCTGAACCTCAGGACATCCCCGAATGACACCAACCACCAGCAGCACAAGACAGGGCAGCCTTCCCACACTCTGCGCAGTCAGCAGTGAGCCCCTCCCCGCTGGCTCATGCCTAGGGTCAAGAGCCTGTGAGCTGGGAGCCCCTCAGGGACCCATGAGCCCTACCTTGGTGCTGGTGTACGCACAGGGCTTCCTGGCACAGCAGTGGGTTGGGGTTGCAGTGTTCCCGAAGGACATTCGGGGACACAGGCTCCATGGTGGCTACCTTCAGCAGCCTAATCCCCAGGTCTTCCTGTTTTCTTCACAACTATTGACCAAAGATAACGCCAAGTGGATTTGCTATCTCCTCATGTCCACCCACTGAAAGATGCCCCCAAAATATGCCAGTGGCCATTCACCTGAAAACCCTGGCGGGGCTTTCTTGGCACCCCAAGGCCCAGGTGCTGAGAGACCCTGCCCATGCCCACCCTGCCCCCAGGTCCCAACCCTCTGCTGAGGAACCAGGGTGAATGTTGGAGCTGAAGGTCCACTCTCTGTCATACCACGGCTCCCACAGCCAGTGCAAGGAGCATGGGGCTGTGCAGACCCACGTGGGCCCCTCCCTCACACTGATGCCAAGGTCTGTCCCTCCTCCTGCTCTTTGGTGGGAGTGCCAGTCCCTGGAGCCACACCTGACAGCCAGCCTCACATCACCCACCACACTGACTCCAATGAGGGACATGGGGCAGCAGGTTCTGCACACACCCCAGTGGGCAACTCTGGAAAAGGATACAGTTCTCATCCCCTTGCCGGCTGCGGGGGGGCCCCGGCATATTCAGCAGGACCAGCTGTGCATCCTGGGACTTGCTGAGGACGACCTCATTGAGCTTCACTGCTGTGTGCATCCTCCTCACATTAGACTGGTCCCTGCAGGGTGGCGGGCAGCGATCAGCAGGCTGCCATCACCCCGCGCTCTGGACACAAGGCTATGCCCAGCCCTGGCCACCCACTGCACACACATGTGTGAGTTTGCAGGAGTCGGGCAGACCCACTGCTCAAGGAGTCCAGGAGGTGACTGTGTGAGTCACTGCCAGGCCACAGGGCAATTCATCCAGCACAAGAAGCACTTGGCCTCTCAACGCCTTAAAACTGACTACCTTCAAAGCTGCCAACATTTACCAAGGTACGTAGCACAGCCCACACCAGCACTTGGCCCATTCTCTGTGCGTGCAAGGCAGCAGTTCTCACGGTTGGACAGACAAGCAAGCAGAGCCACTGTCCTGGCATCCCAGAGTGGGAATAGCCGCACATGCCCTGCACTATATCTCCTGCTGAAATCCCAGGACTGCTCTCAGATCCTGTGCTGGGCCTGCCAAGGGCCTCCTCCTGAGGACCACAACATGGAAGCTCAGGATGGAAACGTCCAGAGACCCAGCCAGCTTGCAGGGCCATCAGACCCAAACTGCTACCTGGACCCTGTCTCATGGGAGGGCCAGTCTCTACGCTCCAAGAAGCAGCAAGAGCAAAACCTTAAGCTGCTTCTCAAAGCATCCCTGGCCCCCCAGGTCCTCAGGGCACCCCCAGGAAGTCCTTGGCCAGGTATATTTGGGGACATGTAGACTGGAGCTGGCAGGAGTGCAGGGACCAGTGCCCACAGAAACAGCAACCTCCTCTGTCCCCACTAGCCACACACAGAATCAGTGAAGGGCACTGCAGCTGGGAGCACCGACCTCCATCTGTGCTGATGCCCAGCTCCTGCACTGACCCAGGTCGAAGTGCATCTGTGGTCATTACCACAGCCTTTGAGGGAGGTCACCTGTGTCCTGGACACAGAGGGCCGGGTGGGTGGACAAATGGTCCCCTGTTTTCCCCTGCTTCACCCCGGGTCAGGGAAAGGGCCTCAGGATGCCCAGGATCACGCCCTGTCATCAACTTGACCTTTCACCAAATAAATCTGATGATAACCACCAATTACAAGGAGGAAAACAGGGAAATGGGCCATTTATCTTCTCTCTCCAATTTAGTGTGATGAAATTACAGATGGAGTCTTTGTCCATGGCACAATTGAGGGTCTTTCATTACAAGAATGAACTATAATTACCAGCATGTTTGGGGACAAACAGCAATTCCAGAGATGTGTGTATATGTGACATTAAAAGATCTGTCAGAGTTTTAAGAGACGGCCTGAAAATCACATATAATCTTAAAATCAGAGGTTTGGGTCTGGGTGGGTTTGGGTCCCAGGACAACACACTCTTGTGGAGTCATAGGCATAACAGGGACCAGAGCAGCCTGGCCTCTCCCAGAAGCTGATAACACCCTGCACTTGCTCCCAACAGCCTGGCTGTGCATCAGAGCACAAGACACACACTAATACATACTCACGGGTGCCCTCACGTGAGCACACAGGTACACGCACACTAACATGTGCACACGAACATGCACACCCCCCCAAAGTATGTTCCTCCAGACCCCCTGCTAAGTCACACACATCCTGGATCAGGACTGACTAGAAGAGGGCAGGGCTGACCTCCAGACCTTCTGGAAGTTTCTCCCAGCTCAGGGTACAAGCAACCACCAGGCTAGTAGGGTAAGACCAGGCTCTAGCAAGCCCCACATGGCATCAGGGCTGCAGTGTCATGGCTATTTTCTGAGCACAGGCTGCTGGGACATGAACCTGACCCTTCCACACATGGCATGTCCTCACATGTGCATGAGTGCAAACCCTGCTTCTGTGTCTCTGTAGTTCGGGGCTTTTGTTTTAATTATTACAATATCTTGGAGACCCTGAGATTTACAAGGTAAGTTATTCTGTGTACCTCACTTTACACAGTTTTCTGTGTTCCCCTAGTTCCTGCACATCCCCAGGTGTCAGCCCCTGTGGCCCAAATGCTTTTCACGGCACCGTGTCCAGCTGGCTCAGGCTTGGGGGTTGAGCAAAACAGCGTGCAGCTGCTCAGCCCAGGCACTCATCCCCAGTGCCAGGATGCCGCCTACCCCAGAGGGAGATGAAAAGCCTCCCCGACCCTGGACAGCCCCTGCTGGCCTCGTGGCATGGACCCCCCAGCCCACCCCCAACTAGGGTGAAGATGTGGCAGCTTCTCCCTATGGCCTGAGCTGGAGCCAAGCCCCCTTCACCTGGACACAAAGGGCAGCAACTTCCTAAAGATGAGCAGGGTTCATGCAAACAGCATGGCATGCTGGGGACCCATCTGAGCTGAATGCCCTCAGCAGGAGCATGTGGATGGGGTCACTGATTGCGGGTAGGGCAACTGCCCTCTCCATTCAGGGAGGGTGTGGATCGACCTCCTGGGTCTCAGTTCTTGGGTGTCACTTAAGAGGACAGATTTTGGGTGTGCTCTGAGCCACTCTGAACAGAACAAGAGCAAAGTAAATGGAAGCAGCACCATAGCAGCACCCAGCACACACAGCCCATACGTGGACACGCACACGGGGCCACTGTGCACATGACATGCGTGGGTGAACACACACAGGCCACACACACAGGCATGCAAGGCAGCCTGGTCTGCACAGCAACCTGGACCCAGCAAGCAGACTTACAGGTGTCCCCATTCTCTATGCAGGAAAGAAAAACACAAAAACATGTTACTTTAACGGTGAACACGAAGCACACTTCAAAACAACCACCAGCCATGCCCCGGGCGCCTTGGGCCCTTCAAGGGATCTTTTTTGCAGGTGTCCTGCCTAAGAATTAGGGCTCCAGGGCTTAGCTCCACTGTCATGGACGCTGGTTCCCATGTGGCTCTGGCTCTTTTTACCAGGACCTGGGATCAGCCACGCTGCACCCCAGGGCCTTGGCCGGTCCCAGACAGGACTCAGAGCAATGTCATGGGGGACCATGGTAAGGATAGGCTCTCAAGCCCAACAGGCAGCCTGAACTGTCAGCAGAGCTATGAGTCTACCTAGCTCTTACCTACTGAGGCCAGTGCCTCTGTCCACAGCCATGGCAAGACCCACCAACACAGACCATAAGCCCTGGGCTCTACAACCACCCACACTACCAAACTTAGTCCTCGGCAGGTTCCTGCTCTCTAATAGGCAGCCAGGGTGTGGGTTTGGCCCCTGAAGCTCTTCAGTGGACAGGAAAGGGAGCCTGTCCCCACTGTTGGGTCTGTATAGCCAGGACCTGACCCTCGAGGCCACACATGAGTGGACACACAAGGACACTCACGGTTTCAGGCTGAAGAGGTCTTTGAATCCAGACATACTGGTATCTTTGTTCTTGTACTTCTCTGCAATCAGCTTCTCCCTCGTCCAGGTCATTTGTACCTTGTCTGGAGAGGATGGGGCTCGGGTCCTGGCGGCTACAGCTGAGTGGGACGCGGTATTCCTGTCATGGATTAGCTGGGCCTGGTGGGGAGAAGCAGAGATAACCATGGGCAAGTGCAAGGGAGAGGCCAGGCTGGCTGCAGAACCTAAAGGACCATGAGCAACTGACCTAGGACCCTGCGCCAGGCCTCCCTGCCCCAGACTCCCACACCAAACCCGTCACTTCCTTCTCTATCTCCTCCTGCCTTCCTGTCCTGTCCCTGAAAGCCAGGAGAGAAAGGACCCATAACCCTGTGGATGTAGGGTCCAGTTTCTCTGTCCCTAGGGAAGCCAGGGATCTGTGGGGCGGCAAGGGCGCTTTTCGCAGCAGGCTCAATGGGTCGCTTCTGACCCCCCTAGAACGATGAAAAGGAAACTCCTCCTGGGTGCTGTCCACGCTTCAGAGGCGCTGCAAGGGAGCAAAGCCCGTGTGGGTCACACATGGTGTGCAGTCCAGGTGTGACAATTCTCAGGTGAACCGTGTCCTCCCCAGAGCCCTTCACACCTGCAATGCTGTCAGGGGCCAGCCATAGGCAGGCTAGACATGTGCACCAGGGTGGAAAGGCCCCTACCAGGTAGCATGTGCTCTGTGGCCTGCCCCTCCTGCCCACAGGGGGCTTGTCCTTAGTTCTCAATGCTCTGACTCCTGCCCAGACATGGCCCGGGGGACAGAGTTGTCCCGGAGATGTACTTCATGAGTACCAAATGCTTAGCTTCCAGGTTGACTTACAAAGCAAAGATGCTCAGAGTCACTTCACCAGAGCAAATTCTTCCTCCCCTAAAGGTTTCAAAATTCTGAATTTTGACATTGACCCATCTCAGAAGGCCCTAAGATCAGCACACATCAGGGCGCCAGGGCTGCCCCATTCCCAGATGCCCAGCAGGGCCCTGGCTTGGTGCCCCGGGAGACGTACATGGGGTTGAGCACCTGGGGCATCACGTCCAGCCACAGGAGGGAGGTCCTAGAGGCCTCAAGGGATGGGGCCTCTAGACCTGACCATTCTCACCAGAGCCTAGAGCCCCCAGGACACTAGGCTATGTTCTGAACCTGCCTCTGCCCCAGGCCCAGGTCCCACTGAGGTCACCCTTGGGAAGCACAGGCTGGAGCAGCCCCTAGGACTCTACCACACTGGGCCCAGCACCAGGACCAGCGAGAGCAGCCACGCCTGCACCACTGCCCCTGTGCTACTTACTCTTCCTACCACGTTCAGAAACTCGGCCCTTTCACTCATCCTTGCTCAAAGAGACCTCTGTGCCCACAACAAACCACTGGAGCACATCCCAGAAACATGCTTGGTGGCAGCTTGTGCCACAGGACTCCTCCCCACTATGGGAGTTAGTCTTCTACAGCCCGACCCGTTGGGGTGCCCACACGCCACAGCGCGGGAAACACATGACACAGGGAGGAAACCGGCAGAAGGTGCTTCATGGCCATCACCAGGGGCTGACTTTCCGGAGAGATGCCAAAGCACTGCCTGTACCTGGCACCTGGCAGGTCACCAGACGGGACAGTTGGCCCACATGGTGGCGAGGGCCCAGGAGACCTCAGCACTCCCGCAGCCCAGGAGGACGGTGGAGCTGCACGCAGAGAAGCCTCCAGTCACCACATGCCATCACCTAATTTCTTAATTTCCAAGCACATTCTGTGAGAACAGTTCACCTACTTTAAACACATCTATTAGGTTTTTAGGTGAGAACTAAGATGAGATAGCAGGATCTCATCCCTCAGACAGGAGGCCATGCTTACAACTAGCAAGGACTGCCAAAGAGGAAGAGCCGACCTCTCACCTGGACGGGACCGGACCTGGTCACCGAGGGCCCAGGCTATTCCTTCTGCAAATGTGTTCTGAGAGGGGACCACAGGCTGAACCCAGGCCACTGTCCTGGCCAAGCATGGCTCCAGGGCCCGCTGCCCTGGGACAGTGAAGGGAGAGTGGAAAGGCCTCACTGGGCAGGTTTGACTGCCATGAGCTCTGCGCAGCATCACCCAGTGAAGACTCAACAGGAACCAGGCGACTGCACAAAGGGAGGAAGGCGCTGCCAAACCCTCAGTCCTGGGGTGCAGCCTCTTTCCTTTAGGATCACCTCAGACCCGTACATGGTCTTGCCCCCCAGCTCCTGAGCCAAGACTGACCGGGCTCTATACCCCAAGTTCATGGCTGCCCAGAGCACCACGAAAGTGCCTGTTAACTGCAGTGGCAGTGGGGATGTGAAGAAGCACAGACAGAGCAGCCCAGCCCCAGCCAGTCCCAGAGACCCCAGCCTCTGGACCCCCTACTGGGGAACAGCACAGGAGATGCAGTGGGAAGGCTTGTGCCATGACAGACACCCAAATGCCACTTCTGGTGACCACAGCACTGACGGTCCCAGCAAGGCCAGGCTGATCGTGCCAGCACATGCCAGCCTCTGCTCTCAGGCTCCACCAGCGCCTGTAGGAAACCCTCAGATTGTGGAGACAGTCAGGGCAGGTGTGCTGAGCCAGGTGTGGTAAGAAGCAGCCATGTGGACCCACTCATGGTAGTGACACTTTCAGATCAAAGAGGGAGAAACAGTCACAGTGGCATCTGCCACCTCAGCCTCACAGTTCTCATGGAAGCAGGGCCTGGGTGTCCCAGCCAAAGTGCCAGACCTAGTGACCCTTCTTCTTGTCTGAGCCTTGGGCCCATTGCTGCTGCTATGACTCTAGGCACCAGCAGCCACAGACAAACCAGGGCAAGGTGGCACCACTCACACCCCTGACGGGACTATATCCACACCAGAGCCCAGGGAACCACATGCAGATGAGGACATGGAGGGAGGGTCCCTGCAGCACCCACGTCCTCACTAGGGGCTATAAGCTCCCTCCTCAGCTGTGTCAAGAAGTGGCCAGCGAGGAGACTGACACTGTCCTCTGAGCACAGTGGACACTGGACCCCCCCAGAGACAGTCTAGCCCTCGACAGCGCTGTCTTCCATCGCGATGACATGAGGGAGATTGTAGCACCAGGCCTCGCTCACAGCTCATGCCCCACATGGGCAGCCAGCAAGGCTCCCTTGAGCAGCCACAGGGGGGCCAGCCCCAGCTGCATGTCCAAACACCAGGCCCACAGTGACCTCACAGGTGCCTGGCCTGACTCTCCTGTGGCCCTAAACTCAGAAACCAGAGCCTAAAGGGAAGGGCAGGTGGCCTCCCTATAGCCCCCAAAAGCTCCCCCAGGTCTGACTTCTAAGAGGGCCCACCCAGGTCACCCTTCCTGACACCTTCCAGCTCACAATCCGTCACCACATTGCCCCTTAACCACAGTAGCCCCTTCTCCTGGTGGGCCCCAGACTGAAATCTCAGGACAGCCTCTCAGCTGCCGGGGACCTGCCCAGGGAAACAGGGCACTGGGTCCTCCAGGGTCTCCAGGAGGGTCTGTGGGCTCTAAGCCCACCCATACCCGCTAGGGCCTGCAGGTAGCCAGCACTGCAAGTCCACAGTTCCTCATCAGTCAGCAACCACAGGGTGTCTCCTGCCCCTGCCAGCTGCCATCACTATCCTCACAGAAAATGATCATGTATACACATCCACCTGAATGGCCTACACAGACCTGTGTATGCAACCCCAGCTAAGGACTACACGTGTTTGTCTGTGTATCTGCATGTGTATGTATCTGTGTGTGTACCTACGTCCGTGTATCAGTGTCTGCAAGTGTATGTGTGTCTGCATGTCTGTGTCAGCATGTGTAGGTGTCTGTGTCTGTGCCTGCATGTGTAGGTGTCTGTGTGTCTGTGTCTGCATGTGTAGGTGTCTG